TCACCCATGGATCAATTTCAGCTGAGTATTACAACCACCAATGATGTCAGCACAGCGATTATAACTACAGGTACTCCCCACTTTCTGAAAGGGCACTTTATGCCATGTCACCTTCTTGATGGACTTAGAGTAATACCCGTTTTGTCTAACTGACAGCAACCAGATGAGGATTTTCACTTTTACAGAAAAAGGTGGAAAATTAAACCAGTGTGCAGCATTAGTTTTGCATGGAGCAGTGAAGCAGGCAGCTTGGACCGGTGTAGCAAGAATGGCATCAAGCTCCGTGCCAAGCAACCGCACTCAGTGTCTCAGCATCAAGCCCCAAGAGCTTTGCACTGTGTCTGTGAGCACTGTATGTTAGTGTTACTTTTGGGGGGACTGAGAATGCTTAAAATTTTTTCCCATATATATTGACGGTATAGGAGCTCTGGTAGCGAAGTGCCTAAGGCACCTGACTGCTAACCAGAAGGCTGGCAGTTCAAACCCACCAGCCACTCCTCAGAAGGAAGATGGGGCAATCTATTTCCGTAGTGATACTGCTTCGGAAACCCAAGGAGGGGTCGCTATGAGTTGGGTTCGACTCGACGGCACGTAACAACAACAACAAATTGACGGTAACTGCTTCTTCGCATTACGCCATTTCAGCTTATGAAAGGTTTCATAGGAACACTCTACCTTCAGATAGCGAGGGAAACCTGTACTTTTAATCATATTGCTTTTATCATGGTTATACATATTTCTGTCTATTAGTCCAGGCATACATGTGAAATGCATAACTACATGGATATGTTTTTCATCTTTTTCTATTTCTCAACCAGAAACAAATTATAAAGACAGCAAGCAGAAGTCACTATTAAAAGGGAAATCGCTACATTTTTAAGAACTATAATTACCCACTTACTCAATTTAATAAGCAATCTGTTCTCCTTGCAATTCTCAAGTAGCTGCTGGGCTTGGGCCTTAAGTTTAGAGTACACACAATGAGAGTTACGGCCTTATTTGAGGCACTTAATTCCAAGGTTTCCCTTCTTAATTATAAAGTTTCCCTTTGTTTGGTCAGAACTGTTGCATTAAAATATAAAGACAAGAAAAAGTCCATTGCAACAAAATGTTTTCTTGAAAACAGTTTTTATAGCTTTGTACCCAAAGATAATTTTGTTTCTTTATAAACAGCTTTCCAATATATAAGCTATTAGCCCAAACTAAATAATGTTTTCAGTGCTGATGCCTTACAGCTGAAAATGACCAAAAATTCCCCTGAAACCACAAATCCTGATATTCTGAGGCTCTGGAATTCAAGCCAAAAGGAAGCACCCCCCAATCACAATGACAGCAAAAATCAAGTTGATCTTGGGTGGTGGCAGAAACCAGAATCGAAGAGAAGTGGTGAGGTGATGTAGCATGAAGCGATGAGGCCATCAGCCACATTTTGCACAAAAATCTCAGAGGCGGCAGAGCTCGGTGGTTTTGCTACCTTGTTCTCTCCTCTTCCTCCCTTACTTGGACTCATAAACCTCTTTAAGACATCATCCACCTCCTTCAGAACTAACTGGGACTTCGGGAGATGAGTAGGGTGTAAGTTCAGAGATTCTGGCTTCAAGTAAATATCCCTATTGACAGAAATAGGTGGGGGAGGGAGGAGAAGAAAAACAAAGAGATAAGGGAAGAAATTATTTATAAACACATGAACTTTGGGGGAGGTAAGAAGAGGGAAAGGAGTAACAACTTAAGTGGGAAGAAATTATTGGTAGGAACAAGTGCTTGATTGAAAACGTAGGAAAGCAAAGTTTCCCATCAGTCCACAGTTCAATGTTGTTATGTGCCATCAAGTTAATTTCAACTCACAGTGACCTTGTATGACAGAGTAAAACTGTCCCGAAGGGTTTCCTAGGCTGTCATCTTTACAAAGGAGCAGATCACCCGCTCTCTTCTCCCAAGAAGTGGCTAATGGGTTCGTTCCATCACCATTCTAGTTAGCAACCAGGTGCTTAATCACAGTGTCACCAGGGCTCCTTTCACAGACCAATGGGCAGCCCCTTTTCTACACTTTATACCAAGGAGCTAAGGGTGGGCCAAGTCTAGTAGTGCTGTAGTGGTCAATTTCCCTAACAAAAGGAAGTAAAAAAAGTAACCATCCTATCTGCAACTAAATAAATTGAATCTGAAAAACACCATATTTACAGTCATCTGTCCATTCACTTAAATATTTCCTGAGCTCCTTCTAAGTAAAAAAAACAAAAACAAACCCACTGCCATCAAGTCTAGGCGACCCTTTATGATACAGCACTGCCTCATAGTGTTTCCAAGGCTGTAAATCTTTACGGAAGTCGACTGCCTCATCTTTTTTGCGCAGAGCGGCTGGTGGGTCCCAACCACCGACCTCTTGGTTAGCAGCCGAATTCCCTAACCGCTGCACCATCAGACTGCCTCTTGTAAGCAAAGGTCTGGGAAATGAGAGTTCCCACTTCACAAAGTTGATAATCCAGTGTGGAAAGTAAGATATGCTAAAAAATAAAACAAAAACTTCTAGATGGGAGATGGGGAATTTTAAAGGTGAGAAAAATTACCCTGTACCACGTTTTACATAAAGTTGAGTTATAGATCCTCCAAGTAGCATGAGAAATAAGAAATGGGGGTGGACGTATAATAAGAAATGGGGGTGGGCGTATGAAATACACATAATCATCACAATAGGAGCTAACAGTTCGCAAGAAAAGGTTTTACATATGTTAAACTACTTAATCTTCACAGCAACTCTATAAGAGAAATTACCCTTCTCCCTATTTTACCAAAGAAATGAGAAAGGTTAAGAAACTTGCCTAAATCATACGTGTAAGTGGCAGCTGAGATTGGAACCTGGCTCTTAACCCTGCATATAAAAATAACACTGTTGCCATTATTACCATTAACACAACACCCCTCTGTATATTGCGGACCCATGATCTAAGTACTTTCATTCATTTCTCTTTGCATACTCACATTTCTGTATTTTACAAATGCACGAACTAAGACTCAGAGTAAAGTTTCCAAGATTATGCAAGTTACCAGGAAGTTGGGTCGGGATTTAAACCTAGTATTCTGAAGGTTTTCACTGCCTGCCGAAACCAACTGTGGACTCCTTTCTCTGCCCTCAAAGAGGTCAGCCTCATCCCACCCAGGAGCCCAAACACCGCCGCACTGTAGCCTCGAGATACCCTCATCCAGACCGCGTTCTACCGTCCCAGCGCACCCCGCCCTCTGTGCCACGCCCGCCCGCCCCGGGCAGGGGTCTCACCAGGTGGGAGTCGGGGGACCCTCGCGATCTTGTTGGTAATCTCCGCAGTAAGAACCGCGAAGTCCTGCTCATAGCCTTCGAAATCGGACGACATGGCGCCTCCGGAGTGACCGACCCGGACCGAAGCCAGGATAAGGGTAGGAGCAACGCGGAGTCGTAGAGACCCCCGGAAAGTCTTCAAGAGCAGCCGAGAACCGGGGACAGCTCCCAGCCCAGCCGCTTCCTGATTGTTCGTTGCAATGTCTGTCCTCCGGAAACTCAGTCGGGTGAGCTTTTTGTTTTCCGCTTAGGCTTCGGGATTAAGAAATTCGCGAAGAAAAAACGCTTGGTTTAGGTTTTTAAAAAAAGTCTCCGAGAATATGCGTGTTCTTAGGGATCACAGAAAGCATTTTATCCCGCTGTGGGACGCGGTTCCGCCCCCTCAAACTACAAATCACAGGAGCTTGCTTCCCGAGGGAAGTTTGGAAAAGCGAACTTCCGGAAGTGGCTGTGACCGAGACTGCGCGCAGGCCCTGAGCGGGAGAGTCCCCTCGAGGGCGCTGGCGGAGGGACCTACCGGATGTAGCAGGTCCCGCACCCCAGCCTCTAGCAACCAGGATTCGCTTTTTGGTTGCCCAGGATTGAAGAACCCACAGCGAAGTTAAACGAAGCTGAGAAAATCTGTTCTTTCGGAATTATCCGAAGCTGACAAAATCTGTTCCCGGAAATGCAATGGCTGAGGAGCGGGCACCAGGGACGAAACTGAGGTGGGAGTCAAGGCTCGGGATGTAACCAAGATTTGGCCGTCTTCGCCCCGCTCGGGTGAGGTCAAGGATCTCCAGAACGTTGAGATTAACCTCACTTACTGGGATGTGCCTCCCCTAAGTGAGGCTTTTTAAACTCTTCGCTCCATGACACGGGCCGGCACAAGGAAGTGGCATGTTTTGTGGGAATCGCCACTGCCCCATCTGGACCGCAGAGTTCCCTCCGACTCCCTCCTGCCGGGTCAGAAATACCCTCTCACAAATCCCCCCTGCGCTCGCCGCTTGCCTTCCCCCCCTCGCTCCTGGAGGCGCCTTTCTTACTCAGGCTCGCAGTCTCCTCGCTCAGCCATTCATGAATACACACCCTCTCCTCGCCACCCCCCCCCACACACACACACACTCTTGACCCTTTGGCTCCACTGCCCGTTGCGTTTTGGAGGGAGCAGCGGCAGATGGCGTAGACCACGGATTGGTGTCTGGCTTTTACTAGGCTAAATTCCAACACGCTGTAAGAGGCCGCCTCTTCGAGTTCTGGAAAGGGAGTTGGACCGCTTGGGTTCTATTTCGGGTTCCGCTGCTCGCTTACCTGTGTTCCTGGCCTGTTCACTTAGCACTCTCAGCCACTTTCTGTTCTCTATGAAGAAGGGGACTGGATTGGATCATGTTTACGGGTCTCCTTCCCAGCTCTAAAATCCTGTGTCCTCCAACATTCACTGTACGCTGGACAGATGGTCAGAGTCCCCTGACAAGGTGAAAATAAAAGACTGAAAACAACTATTTTAGGATCATGTTTACTACATACATCAATTTACAATTTAAACGTGAACCCGATTTTGGATAATATGAAAGTAGTTCTTTTTACCATCGGCCAAAATACCCATACCATACTAGTGCACTTGTGAGATGCTTTTATATAGATCAGTATTGGAGTTAACAAATTACGAAATATCTTTCACTGACCTTTCCCGTTTTGTTTTCTTTAGGTTGAGTTTCAAACCGAGACACTGGTTTCTTCTAGTTAAGATAAAGCGCTCTGAGTGTTTAACGGTGAACATGGCATAATCGGCAGTGACATCCCACAACCTGAAGGCATGACAGTTCAGGAGGACAAGTGGACTTGGGGCACATGGAAATGTGTGCCCAGAAAAAGGAAACCTGTCATTCTTTAAAAATAGGAAGAAATCCTTCCACACCAAAATGGGTACATTCTGCTCAGTTATCAAGTTTGAAAATCTTCAAGAATTAAAGAGACTGTGTCACTGGGGTCCCATCATAGCCCTCGGTGTTGTAGCAATATGTTCTACAATGGCCATGATTGACTCTGTATTGTGGTATTGGCCCTTGCATACAACTGGAGGAAGCGTGAATTTCATCATGTTGATAAATTGGACAGTCATGATTCTTTATAATTACTTCAATGCCATGTTTGTGGGACCTGGCTTTGTCCCTCTGGGATGGAAACCGGTAAGAAAAATACTCTTAAAGATGATGAACTGTAAATGATAATCATGTATTAGTCATCGTCTTATCTGCTAACCAATAATATCAAACAGCCTACTCCTCACTTATCAACTATCATTATCCAACATTTCACATTTATGACAATAGTAAAAATCTATCTGACTATTTTGTGCATAAACGATGTAAGTTGGCAGTAACTAATGCCAAGGTATGAGGTGAGAGTAACGCTGGCTGTGATGGTTAAGGTTGTGTATCAGCTTGGCAGGGCCATGACTCTCAGTGGTTTGGCAGTTCTGTAATGATGTAGCTACCCACCAATTTGTGATCCAATATGGTCGTATTCTTTTTTTGCGTGACACCAGTTTTCACTTAACAACCTGGTCTTTGGAATCTAGCCATGTTGATAAGTGATGCATGAGTGTACTCTAGCACTGATCGTTCACTATCAGAATTTATTTCCTACCTCTTTGAAAATATTAATATTAATTACCCAAGTGATTTCATTAAATACGTGTCCTGCATGTTGTTTTGTTTTATTTTTAATGGAGAGGGGATTAGGCCATAGAGATAAAAGCATACTCTCTTGTACTTTCATAGTGTATTTTGGCTCTAGAATCTTTTTCCAGGTAATTCATTAATATCCCTTGGAACTGAGAAACACACTACAGAAACTGCTGGTTTAAATCACTATAAAGTTTTGAAAGTGGTGAAGTGAAGTCAGAACCTTGAGGAGTACACTGTGAATCAATTTATTGCTTTTTAAAAATTGTTACAAAGTTTATGCTTACCATCTTCCTTGCTGAGGATCTCACTTGGCAGCATGTGAGAAATGCAGAATCTTGGGCTTCACCCCAGACCCACTGAATCAGAACCAGTATTTTAACAAAATCCTCAGATGATTCTTAGGTGCATTAAAGTTTGGGAAACGTTGGTGTGTATTATGTACACTGTACTCTTCGAAGTGGGTACAGAGATGAATAAGACACAATTCATACGGAAAGAGTTAATTATCTAAGAGAAGAAACCAAGGCTCTTGTGCAAACAGCTGAAGTATAAGGTAGAATATAATGAGTGCTTTTGAATTAGAAGGCCCTGATCATTTTCAGCTGGGAACGTAAGGGAGGAGTGGAAATTTCCACAAAACACAGGAAAGAAAATGGTGGAGAGGGACGTACTCAGAAACAGTAAACAACCTAGATTATGTGGTGTTGATATGGCTAAAACAGAGGCATCGTGGAAGGCTTCAACTACATGAGAAAAGGCTATACCAAGGACAGTTATTAGAGGATTTGGAGCAGAGCTCTGACAATCAGAGTCCTGTTACAGAAATATTATTCAGACCATAGATGGTTTGGGTCAGAAACCACAGTAAAAGAAAGTAGGTAGGAAGTAATTAAAATGATCCAAGAAGGGAGGTAACAATGGTAAAGGTAAAGAGAGGGAAGATTTCAGAAGAGTATCAACTCTAATGCTGGAATGCTACTCTAAAATACCTGCCAGGTTGTCAGCTAGTTGTTTCCTGAACTCCCATTCTACCAAGATTCAAGGTGATAGAAACAACTAATACTCAGTGGCATTGGGAAGTATTTATTCATAAGGCCTGACTTGCTATTACTTGGGATCAGATAATTGATGAATTCTTTGTTTACATTTTGTTGCCAAGGAAAATTCTCAGGATAGCATGTATCTCCAGTATTGCAAAGTCTGCCAGGCGTACAAGGCACCCCGCTCACATCACTGCAGAAAGTGCAACAGGTACCCATCTGTCTATGCTTTTCTTGGGGGGTCAATCAGCTTGATTACTGGTCTCTTTTTGTTCTTTGTGCTACGTCAGTCTCAGTTTTATTCTCTGCACGTAGCAAGTCAAAAAGGTGGTAACTTTTTTAAAAAAATACTTAAGTGTCTATAATCTCCATTTTATACTTAAATTACAATTGAAATAATAAATCTCATCCTTTTGTTATTATAAGTGATTTTTTTTTTAAGAAAAATACAGATTTACTTTGCTTCATACTCTCAAGAGTAGGATTAAAAAGTTACATCTTCAGGTTTTTTTCCCTCAAATATCAGAATTACTTGTGTTTGTTAGCTGTCATTTTGAGTAACTTCAGACTTGGTAGCAGTTTAAAGTATAAAGGAGACCTTTTCCCATTATTTATCTGACAAACATTTATACTTTATAAAAATGTAATAAAATAATCCAAATGCCTGTTACCACAAGTTTATCTTAATATCAAGAAACTTAATGGGAACAAAC